AAGCCTGGGGGGGGGGGGGGCGGGGGCGGGCAGGTTCTTACCGTGATCTCTGTTGTCTCATTCCTGTAGCACGTGGAACAAGTTGGATGTATCTCAAAATATAGAATCCCAACCCTAAACGCTGAAGGCTCGAAACGGGTATGCACGAAACTGGCATGCACTCCTCCTACAAGAACTTCGGCGGCAAAAGTGGCGGAGCATACATTTTGGCGAGTGCGGCACCACTTGAATAGGGCTGAAGGCAAGTGCCGAAACGCGCATTGCATCACATCGGACGCATCTGACGACATCGCTAAATGGCCCTGCAGCTTGAGGCAGAGGCCCAGCTATTCAAAATCAACAGGGATGGAACAATATGCCAGTGTTGCAAAGGCACCTCAACAGCAGGGCGATCAACCATTTGGGGTGCAAGGGGGTTGGTCATCCAATCAGCCGCTTGCCCATGCATCGATCATTGAGTGGAAAATGCCACTCTCGCCCCCTGCACTCTCCGCAAGCCCGCTGCATGCACCATGGCCGGGAGGTCTTTCCTTTCGCTGACAGATTCTCGAAGTGTCGGTTTGAGTGTCTCATGGCATGATAGCTTTGTATCGTGGCCCCGCATGTGCATCAGCTGGGGCAACCACTTGACGGCTGCTGCGGTCGAATCGATCACCATCAGCAGGTTGAAAAGCGTCATCATGACGAAGCCAACTGACCCAAGCAAAAGAAACACGGTGTCACCAAGTCTGTAGAAGGCCATCATCGCAGCTGTAGCTTGAGTCAGCCAGACGTATCCTCGAACAAGCCATATCATCAGTAACTGAACCAGCACAATGGCCTGCGCGGAAAAGTGCGGACTCAAGTTAGATAGCTGAACCAAAAACTGCAAGCACTTAACAACATACCGTGACCGTGCAGCTGCAAGCCACCACCGAGCAACGTAGTTAAATTTCCGTCGGAGGCCTCTGAGCTTGCAATGTGGACTAATTACATTGAAAATTGACAACTTACCTGACATGGAGTAGCGGGAAACCGGGATACTCAGGCCTTGAATTGCAAGAAGTCCCGGCGAGAGTGTTGCGTGTCCAGGGTGAATTTGTAGCAACCCAGCAAGTAGCCGAAACCGGCAGAAGAAAGCATTGACCACATCAAAATGTGCAGTGCCCTCATCTTGGGGTAGTACAGGGTCATTGGCACCGTCAGCATCATGGAGAGTGTATGATGCAAGCAAACGATGACAATGAAGTATTTCTTCGGCAGCTGCACGCCCAGGTCTTTGAAGCTAGCTGGGCAAAAGGTTCTGAGAGTCGTCTGGACGGTGTCGTAAGCCGAGAACGCCACATCTCCCACGGCACCAGCATAGAACAAGAACTGTCCAACGGCACCGGCCGAGTCCCAGCCCAACAAAGCCACAGGAGTTAGGGCCAGGCTCACCACGAGATGATGGGAGCAAATGGCAATCAGAAAGCAGTAGCAGTCGACAACGACCCTTTCATCAGAAGTGGTTGACTCGCTGTAGCCGAAGCTGTGCATCATAGTTCGCTGAGGTGGGATCATTCGTGAGCGCCAGGGCTGCTTGTCAACCCAGCTGATCAACCGTCTCTTGAGGAGCTCGATGAAACCTGTTTAACTTAACTTTGGGTTTCAAAAACAGAGCACAAGTCTGAGCTCTGACGCGTCAACTAAGAATAGCAACTTGCCGGACAATTTTGATAGGTTCGGCAGGGAGACAGCCTGTTAGGGCCGCAAGGGTCGCGATGACTAGCAGGACCATCTTAGTCTGCGGGAGCATGCTGGCGGACATAGCTGACATGGGCATGACACTGGGTTGGCCCGCCCAAACTGCTTCTGCGAAACGGAAACTAAAGCAGAAAGGAGCCTGCGGTTATCCGCACATAGTAGTCAACATGATGACACCAGGCGTTCGTCACAGACACGCAGCTTGTGACAAAAGACTCCAGGCCTGTTCAGGCTGCTCTGCAGATCTTCGGGTGTTGGCCTCTGTGGCGTCTGTTCGGGGCAAGATTTGTCATGGATACTTCCACCCCAGCACTGCGCAAGGTGATATGGACCTAAAGGCCAGTTCGTGCGAGAAAATGCTCTGCTCTGGAAAGTCGTGCTTCTGTCATGCTGGCCCCTGCAAAACGGACAACACCTTCGGACAATTTGGGCAACTCTGCTATCCCAGCAACGAAGCTCGTTCTACGAATCGAAACTTGAAGGTACTCATAATCTACCCTCATAGCAGCCATCATGTCGAAACGCGAAGCCTGGCACTCGTCGACGTTTTGGGTCTTTGCCCATTCCTGCCGGAAAGGCGCCAGCTACAAGTAGATACGCTTCTGCACGTGTCTACGGCGCATGCTCCTAATGGTACGCTAAAACACCCCAAAGCTGAATTCTGTGAGCAATATGGTCGCGATCTTTACAAACCCTGATCTCTCATAGACGTACGATGCAAATACTATTTCGTCCAAATAATATCGCGTCGTAAATCTACTCTGCTCTATTCGCTTATATTTTGATAACTTTAGTATATCATATTGTCTTGTTTAGTTCATAAGAGAGGTCACTTCTCAGAGCCGCACTGCGGTGCGCTGTTCTTGGCTCCGGCCGCGCGTGCACGCAATGAGGCCTGCATGTTGACTGTTGACTTCTGTTCGGTATTTTGGAGAGGGATGGAGGGTGGGGAAGCTGTCGACTAAGTACATAGGTGCGACGTGTGTTGGTGGTCTCCAGGCCCCCACAGCTCGCAAAAAAATGATGCAGGGTTAAGTGTAGACTTGCTTAGCCCTTTTCGCGCCAGTTCCGTTTATCGTAGGACTTCGTTTCATTCTCGGCGTGACAAGTCGACAAGACATAGATGACCTCCTTTCGGCTCAGGGCTTGCGCTGCCGCTCTGCCTGCACATTTGCAGCCCTGCCCTCACGACTTGGACTTCGCCGCGGCTGCGATGTGGATCGCCTGAAGCTCCGGCGGTCCGGTTTGGCAGGACATGCGCCGCATACTGCGATCCAAGCGTGCCGACTGTCTACTCCTTGGCTTTGCTATCACTGAATTTCTCCCCCTCCAAGCTCCCGGTATGAGTCCTCTCTATGCCTTTAAGCCGCCAAGTCGGGAACCCTGGCCTGTCAGAGGCCGCACTGTGCAACGACTGCGCGCTGGCATTGCGCTCGATGTCCAAATCCACCCGCTGTCGAACCTGGGGGCGGATAGGGGCTCCTACTCCTCCCCTTCCACTCAGCAGACATCCCAATTAAGATGAAAATTAAGATGAAAGCATAGTGCAAGGAGGCAGCTAGGCTTGACAGCTTCGGCCTGCACAGCAGAGCCGCTGCGGGATACCGAGCGTGAGGATTGTGAAGCAGCCTCGGCAAGTATGCAAGGGAGAGTGAACGATAGCGCTGCGCGCTAGAACATACTTGATCTTGAACTTTTGGGTCTTGTTGTCGCAACCACATGCGATCCCTCGTGTAGGTTCGAATTGTTTGCGCTCGGAGCACCCGCATTTGGAAAGACAACGGCAAGGCTAAAGGACAGATCGGCAAAACACCCTGGCTAAAGTGCCGAGCTTGAGATGCAGCAGGGAGGAGCAACTGCGCACCAAAATTCTCTCAAGGGTTTCTGCAGAAACAGAAAAAAGCTGAACCAATCAACCCGCAAGTCCCTAAACCCTTGAACCAGGCACCTGCTACCCGACCCTCGGGCTGGGGAATCAGCGCGAGGAGTGGTGGAGCAGCTCCCCGGGAGATTCGGGGTGACACCTGCAGCTACTATGCACTATGAATGATAGAGCTATATCATACTATATCAGACCGTCGTACTTTGTACTATATCCTCTTTCCGTCGGTGCACTGCGGGGTCTTTACAAAGCCTGCTCTGCATTTTCTTTGGCATCGCTATGAGCTGAACGAAGCTACAATGAACACCTCTGTGTTGGGACTGCAGGTCTGGCTTCTATGATCCAAAGAGGATTCACTTGCATGTGGCTTCCTGCCAGCAGCTTCACCTCGGAGCTGCAAGACGACGTACGTCTACATGTGTGCCTGTGTGCCGGCAGCTATATGTCCATGTCATGAGAGAGGCATAGAACCTCCTATGCCCAAGACGGCCTTTGCAAGAGCCCCACTTGCCGCCTCTCCTCCACCTCACTTGAAGTGTCAGGTTCCCTGAATGCCAAACAAATCTGAAATTGTGCAGGGAGCTGCCTCGCAGCTTCTCCAGCTGCTGCTGGGCAGCCTGAAGGCGCCCCTGGTCGAGCTTTGGATTGCCATCGCAGTCATGATGTAGAACAGCAGTGGTTGTGCGCATATAATGTCCCAGAAAGCAAGAACCTGGCCATTCGGTCACCCTCAGTGTATGAAGCTCCGATAGATGCCGCTCGGGACCTGCTCTCCGGAGTTTTGACCAGGACGTAGACAAAGCGAGGCTGCCCCGATGATATAACGACGTGTCGACGACGACTATCACCGTTACTGCGAATGCGACATGTATCTTGCACTACAAAAAGGCGTAGACCACGACCATGCCTCCAACTGTAAGTTTCGCTGCGCCAACTCCATGATCGTGGAGTTTGCCTGCAGAGGTGTTTGGAGTTCCATAGCTATGGGTTTAAGGTTGCAGCTTAGAGGCTCGGGCTCACTCTGTGGAAGTTCGGGGCCTGGAATATGAGCGTTGTATCCTGGAGGCCAGGGCTGTCGTAAGAGATCCAAGCGCGCCTTCCAACAGCGAAAAATCCGAACACTGTGTTGGCTTGAAGGGCTCTGTGATGCGAAGCTCCGCATCTTCAAACTGGGTTGCAAACACGAGAGCAGTGCCGACTGAATGCATGGATGATCCCAGTGCCGACAAATGCAATGACGATGGATTCAAGCTCTTCTAGTGCCAGAGATGAACAACAGGGACCATATGATATGGTAGCAACAGCGCTGCAGTGTTGTATGAGAATAGAAGCAGGCTCGCGGCTGGTGAAGGCCATCTCATCATCGTAATCATAACCACCGGCCGTCACTACCAAACTCTAAAACCCTGGACCCTGATTTGACTCTAGACCCTAAACCCATCATCCGCTGAACTCATCACTTTCTCTGGAATCCTGGAAGCTCGGTGTGTTCGGGGCCTCGGAGGTCCTTTGCTCCGTGAGCTTCCGCAGCTCTTCGTTCTCCTGGAAGATTGGGAGACTTCAGAATCGAGGTGGGAAGAATCAAGGCATAGGGGTTGGGTTGTATTTAGTGAAGTGGTTTTGGGCTCAGGGTGGCCGGGGCTCGAGCTTGAGGTTTGGGGCATCAGGTTTCGGAGGGATCGGGATTGTAATGGGGCGTAGTGCCTCGAGTTCGTCGTTGTGGGCGGCTTTTGTTTCCCGAAGCGTGTGATAGCGCAACGGGGTTCCCACCTTCTGGACCCGCGACGCGCACATGACTTGTGCCTGCGCTGGTCCATGGCTCCCGATGTGGCGCAGCGCACATTCACAAGTCGCGCTCTTGCCACAATCCCGCACGCCGTGGCCGTCGGATTCATGGTAAACTCCAAGGCTTTGCAGCACGTTTATGGTGACTCGCTCTCCCGCAGAGATTTTGGGGTGGGCATCATCTTCCCGCCAGAGTCCTGCCGCCTCTCGCAATCGTGCTTCCGCCAAATGTAGGGTTTGAAGTGGTAGCCGTGTTTTCATTGTCGAAAGGTTACGTTGGCACCGTTTGCAGCCCGCTATACGAAGGAAATGTGTAAATAAGCTCGGGAGAAATTCCGACACATCCTGGTAACACCATGGCCCTGAGACAGCCCCAAAGATCGACTCGAGTTCTGCGGCAGAGTATCCGCTCCTGGCCGAGACGCTCTGCCTTTTCCCTCAGGCTGGTGTAAACCTTCCACAAGGAGTCCCTGCGGCCGAAGACACATAGCAGGACAAGAGACTTTGCGATATGCTAGGAACAGCTCTTGGACATACACTATGTTTATATGTATACAATATATACATATACACATGCACAGAAGCTGTTCGGATGGGAGGGGATGGGTGGTGCGGAGCCTGCTTGCAGTTGCATGGTGCAGATAGCTCGCGCTCTGGTGGGCGGAAACCCGTGACCACAACAGAAAAGACAGCACATACGGTAGGAATGTGCGCAGGACACAACGCGATCGTCATGTCACAATGCAAAATGCAATGCTGCCACCCGATGTCCCATCTGCTGGCAGCATGCCGGCTTGAACCAGAAGCCTACAACAAATTGCTATCCGTATGTTGCTCCAGTGCAATTTTGTACCGGCCGCCCTCATCGCTTCAGATACAATTTCCGTCAACGAGCCTGCCTGTCCATCTGCTCGGGTTGGGATGCCGGAGACGTCGCCTCGTCTTCAAATGTCGATCGCATCCCCTTCGACCCCAATATATCTCTTGCAGAACTATGTAGGGTCGAAGCATTTAGGGGCACCGTATCAAACCCCTTGCTACAGAATGTGCGAAACACCTCACGAGTCTGCGGAAGCAAGCTTCGTGATCCTGCGTTGCTTCCTACCTGAGATGTGCCTGAAGCCACGAATGACAGTGATTGAACACCTCTAACCGATCTAGCCTCCATGTTTCGTTACAGTATGCATCTGAACTCTCCCAGCACAATGGATGCAGCATACCGCATTTTACATGTGCCTTACTTTAATTCCAAGATGCCAACATTGCCAAGGACCACACATTCCACCATTCGGTTTCTTGGAGTGTGAACGCTCGCCTGCTGTGGCCCTACCATCAACATTTTTCAAGTTTCCCGAATGCTGGAATGTATATGATGGAAACACTTTGGGAAACTGCAACGTCAGCCCCGGACAATTGGAATGTGGAGGGAGTGTTGGGACTGCAACATAGGGTGGAATGATCGTCTGAAGCAACTTGGAGTGTTGGAATCTGCTCGGCCCACCTCTGCTTAACGCACAGAACTGAATGTAGCTGTGAGTAGAACACCGATCTGTTGTTTCGAAGGCAGACCTAGCACCCGCTTGTCCACATGTGCCGTGTAGTGTGTTGGACGAGTGATGAGTACAGGTGTCTAGGGCGCTAGCAACAATGAATATGTGTCTACATACGACGGTGCAGAAAGGTGGAGACTTTGTAGCTACAATTGCACCAGTTTCACATGACGACCAGAGGCTTTCCGAAGGCAGAAGCTAGCAGCGCGCCTCCGGAGCTTTTGCATTCCCGCTCAAGCGCATGTTCTCCTGGTCTCGTGGGGTATCGTTGGGTGAGGAAAGTCTGCACTCAGATCCCAGGAACCCTAAACTCCTGAACCCTCTGTCCTCTGTCAGCCGCCCCAGGATCTCCTGTCGGAAGGGGGCTTGTCGCAAGCTCCCCCACTGCACGGCATGTTATGGCACATGGCTCTATACTGAACATGGCAACTTTCTGGCTTTCAGGCGTTTTGAGGTGCTCGGGCGATGTGGGAGCTGAGCCTCCCAGATCAGAGATTACAAAACAACTACTATTCCTTAGGGTTCCTTGTTGGTTTCATTTATGTTATAGCGATCTTAGGCCTCTTTTTTTATATCTTTGCTACAAAAATGATGGCTTGGATTCCATAGGGTTCCTTGTCATAGCTATACTATAAAGATCTTAGGCTTCCCTTTCATACCTTTACTATGAAGACTGGTGGCTTGGTCCGAGGGTGTGAAGCTGCTTACCATTGCAAGGGAATGTGGGCTCCCGAAGACTCAACCAGAGTCAACCACATCCACGACCACTACTAAGCCGACGACTAAGACTGCTAGTGCTAGTTCTTTTAGAAACACTCGTACTCCAAATTGCCGTACATCGCCCCAAACGAAAAGCCACTTCCCCCCCTACACCCATGAACTCTCTGCTTTCACGACCCTCCAAGAATGCTACAGGAAATTGACCGGGGCCTCTGCCGAGGCCAAGCGCTCCTCAAACCGGGAGCGCTGAGCCTTGGTTCAGGGCTTGGGGTTTAGGGCTGCTAGGGAAGTCTGAGTTTAGGATTCTGTGCTTTAGGAGTCGAAGATTTTGGGTTTTCAGATTTAGGGCTTATGGATTTTGGGCTCTTGGGCTTTCGGGTTCAGGGTCTGGGTTCAGACTTGAGGGCTCAAGGTCGTTGGTTCGGTTCGGGCTTCTGCTCGAGGCCAGCAAACGCAGCTTCCACTCAAGCTGCGCAAGTGAAGGCAAGTTGCTCGCTTTCTTTCTTTCTTTCGGCAGGGTTATGGGCAAAGGGGAACTCCCAAGTTGCTCTCTCTCTCTCTCTCTCTCTCTCTCTCTCTCTCTCTACATACCTATACATATACATATACATATACATTTACATATACATACACATATACATATACATATATATATATATCCACATGCACATTTTGATGCTACGGCCGGTGTCAATAGTAATATGACTTTGAAGATTGATATCGCAATTTACACTCATGTTGACAATGAAAAATCTATAGGTTTACATATGTATACCCACGAACGGAGTAACAGTGTTGGCCCTCTGAAGACTTACCACCTTGACGCTTCAGGAATGAAACTCGGCCTACGCTAAACCTGAAACCCCCATTACTCCCTAAACCCAATATCCCAATTCCCGAATTCAGCACGGCCTTCTCGCTGTCGAGCTGGGTGCGCAGGTCCTGTTTCGGACTTTAAGTTTAAGAATCCAAACCAAAACGAGGTGCAGAGAAGGCAAGTTCTGCACATCATGCAATCGAAACTCGTTTCCTGTTGCCGGAGTCTCAATAATCGCCAGCAACGCTGGCAACAACAACGACAATTGTTGTAACAAAACTCCTGGAAGAGAAGCGCCGATGTGTAATGGCCACACTAATGACAAGAAACCTCATCGCAATCAGCCTGATAGCACTAGCTATATTCAGAGCGATGACAAGATGAACATTAGTAACAACAGCACAGCAGCTGATAATCGCAAATGCAATCCTGTCATATCTGCTATCATTCACACGATCATGGTAATAGCAATTGTAGCAGCGCCGACCGTAAGCACTTGTCATGTGCTGCAAGCTACTGACATGATAACTTCGGGAAGGGTGGGGAACGTTCGTGGACATCCTGAGCCATCCGACATGCTTGCGATGCTTTAAGCACCCTAAAGCCCCAGGCCCTGAACAAAACAACCTGGTCTGCAAAGATTTCAATATGAGAGTTACTGTGCGGGCTACTATCAGGACGGCTACTACTTAGAAGATGAACTCAGGGCTGCTGTGCGGTCCTGAACCTGGCGGCGGAGTTCGTCCCGGTTCGAAGAGAGCGCCTGACGGGATGGCTTTTCTCCTACATGTCGAGCCATGCACAGGATCTGGGCAGTTAGGAGTTAATTTGATAAAACACATAATAAGATATATATATATATATATATATTTATAGTATAATATATAAAAAATACTCTTTTCCTGGGCTTAAGGATCTGGGCAGCGCAGGGACTCCCGAGTCCGGCGGGCCTCAAAGTGTTGAGCTGACTGCAGGGAAGCTTCCACCTGCTCCAGGCTTGCATTCGCGGCTCTTAGGTCACGTCAAACTAGAGCATACCGCACTGTACTATCTGATGTTACGTTACATGATACCTGGTGTATTGGATTAATGGCGATTCTAGGCTACACTGCATCGTTTCCACTCTACTACTCTCTTCGAAATCATGCCAACATGGGCTTCAGCATCATGCTGGCTGCGAGACAGAGGCTAAGCCCAGAACAAGCTTCTCCGTCAGGAAGTGGTTTTCACTTCTCAGGAGATGAACGTCACTTCCCGCAGACTCGCCTCAGCCGAAACCCTCTCAAAGACCACGTGCTCCCAGCAATCTGCAACTGCGCCTGCGCTGAGCCCCGGGGCCTGGCACACCATTATTGTTTGACAAAGAGCTGTTTAGGAATTCCGTTGGTCATATTGTGAATGTAGGCCTATTCCTAAGGAACACAGAGTTTAAGGCTTCGGGCCACCTGAAACCACACTCAGAGGCGCAGTGAGCAGTCGGCGTCCTCCGGGCTACCAGGTCGATGCTCAGTGGATCCACCCTGGCCAAGAGTGAGCTATACCATGTATCGCCTATGCTGTGCTTTACTATAGGTTTAGGGTTTAGAGTTTAGGGAAAGGGTTTAGGGTTTAGGGCCAGTTTAGGGTATACTACGCTCTGCCACAATTGTACTCGACTTTACTCTACGCTTTACGGCTGTCTGCTGGACACATGCGAAGGAAGCAGACGCACGAAACAGCCTGAACCATGCAAACATGCAATACAATATAATGTATTATAGTGTACTATACTATACTATATTAGCATAGTATAATATACTATACTATGCTGTACTGCACTAAACTTACACTATTATATAGTATGATATAGCATACCTAAAATAATGTATGCACACAGTCACTTCATGGCGAACGGACCTCCGGCACAGCAGCTCCTGGAGAAGAGATGGAGCTGCCAACCATGCCTGGAACAGACCAAAAAACCCTAAAACCTGAAAGAAAAACCCGAGAGCCCTAAAACTCCAAACCCACACACCTCTAAAGCCGGGAAACCTAAACGCACCAACACCCAAAGCAACCTAAACCCCGTCTTTAACACTAAAGCTTCAAATTCCTAAGACACGCAAAACAGAGTCCAAGGCCAAACAAACCCACCGACATAACATAACATAGCACAGTATGACATTACATATTACTGTATGCTTAATATGATATAGTGCAATGTACTTCAATCAAGCCTAACCTAATACAATATAGTACATCGCAGGCCGCGAAAGACCGTGGCCTTGCCCCTGGAGCAGGGCCACCTCAGCGGCTGAAACCAAACTTAGTACTTTCTGAGTTTGGGCTTAGGGTTCTAAAAGCTTTTGAAGGTGTTCAGGATTCTTGGTGGTTTTGAGGGTCTCTAGGACGTGCTCGGGGCTTCTTCTTGTGGATTTTGGGTTATGGGAACCAACCGTTAGAGTTCAGGGCTCAGCTGACGTTTCTGGAACTCCCGTCCCGGCCCTTCGAGCTAGATGGCCATGAAGCTGTTATGAGGCATAAGGTTGAGGGTTTCAGGTTGAGGAGTCCGAGACATGTCCAATGGCTTCTGTAGCATGTGGGGCTTTCGGCCTAAACCCTAGCAACGCAACACTGCAACCCAAGAAATGCCCCATTCGTGGAAGGCGCACCGCCTACTGCTTGGGCTTGGGTGGTTAATGGCAATCATATAAGTGATAGTGCGATTCGTAAACGAATCGTAACTAAAGCAACAACACTACAGTATAATGCGTATGAAGGAAACGACAGGAAACTGGATGATGTTGAATCGCAACCGTTCTGGTGGAAGAGGTACTGACACTATGGGTCTAAGGGCCGTACACTTTCCCGCTCCCGCCGCCGTGAATCAGGGATCGGTAGCGTTGGCCTGGGAGACAGAGCATTGGGGTTGTCAAGAGCTTTGGTAGGGCTCGGGGGCAGCGTCTATGTATGTATGTATGATGTATGTATGTATGTATGTATGTATGTATGTACGTATATGTGTATGTATGTTTGCTTGTTTGCTTGTTTGTTTGTAGTTGCATGCATGAATGCATGCATGTATGCATGTATGCATTTGTAAGTGAATCTATCTGAATGTATGTGTATGTGTATTTGTATGTATGCATATGTATATGTATATGTATATGTACATGCATGTGCATCTGCATATGTATATGTATATTGGGGCCGCAACCCAGGCATTGCGCTTGGCTGCAAGACCTCCTCCAGGCTCGTGCTCGTCGCCTGCAATTTCCATCAGACGTTGGCGAAATAATGCGAAATACATAAGTCTACAGCAGAGCCTGCCGTGGAGTCCGCCCATCCGACGACTTGTTCAATGTTGGCACAGTACATTCGTTCCTCTTCCGCTACGAAAATCTAGGCTGTACTCAAGCACGAACATTTTCTGCAATGCACGGCAGGCAACCTATAAGTCTCTCTTCACTGAACCCAGAAGCTCGAGCGTGCAGGTCTCCGGGGCGTTGCCTTGGTTGTGGCAGTCAAGAACTGGGGCACTAGTCACGAGGCATGCTGCAGGCAGCCCGTAAGTGAGGACGCTTCATTACAACGATCCCTCGCCCTGCATGCGATCAGAAAATCTCACAGGGAGTGCTGCAGGCTTGGTGCACTTCCCAAAGAAGTGAGCGTGGCTGCTGACCACCTTGTCTGCATTGAGGCGCTTCTCCACAGATCTGAGGAACATGGCTGCAACCTTTGGGGCTGCAGTCTTCGAATCTGTCTTTTTCCTCAGTCATACAGGGCCAGAGAAGCAAAGCACTGTAAGATTAGGGAGAAACATGAACCATGAACTCCAGAGCTAGGCAACATGAAACAGAGCCGTCAACAGTTTCACCACACGGTCCAACCAAACCATACGACGGAATCATTCGCGGCTCTGGCCCACTGATGTTAGCAAGGCGTAGGCTTCGGCATTGTCCTTGACACATTCCTCCTTGTCCTTGGTGCAGCACGCCGCTGCATCCACCTGTAGATCATTCCTGGGCTAGCATGAGCTTTGAAGGCTTGGCTCCAGCATGTACTTGAACGAACAGTTGTGCCCTGTCCTCTGCAGCAGTGCTCGGAACAGGCAGGCAATCCAGGCAAGGACGCAAGATTGCCAAGATAAGCCTAGAATCAGGAACTCATCCACTCCGTTTTCGCTGACAATCGCGCCGACCTTGTCCAGCAAGCACGCACCAACCTCCTCCTTCTCGTTGCTTGGAGGGGTCTTGAGCAGGTCGCCGTCGAAGAAGTTGTTGTCAAAATCACCGGCGAGAATTTTCGCCACCATGCCAGGCAGTGTGGGATCGGCGGGTTTGTCCGCATGCGCGCAGAGTACTCCAGACAGCACTGAAAGAAACCACGGTGACGGAAGGCCCATGGCGACGGGAAGAGGGGGAAGTTTGGTCTTGAGCTCCACGCAGCGACTTGGGCCAAGGCCAAAGATCACAGCTCTCAGCTCGCAGGCGGATTAGCCACGATCAGTGCAAAGCGCCTCCTTTGTGCGTCGAGTTGAGCCAGACGGGCCCTCAAGACCTGAACTCAGAAAGCGAACTTCAACTGAATTTGCTCGGGCTTTGTGACACATCGCCAATCACAATGCTGATGCAATGCAGGCAGGCTGTTACTTTCTGACTGGGTCGGAATTGCCGTTAATTGAGCTCTGTGCAGTCTTTTCACGGAGTCTCTCCGCTTGTATTGGCTTCTCCATGCCATCACATATACTCAACTTCATGCACCGCCAAGCCCCGTCTCGACTTCAGCTACGTGAGGATGAAGTGTCGCGTGCTCTGCCAACTGCAAACCTCTCCACCTACCCTAATCATCCCTAAACCCTATAACTGAAGCAGCCCATGGTGGCCGGGCGGCGGTCCAACGAACTTGTCGGGCTCGTCGGGGGTCGCGCCCTCGGGGCCTTCGTGCACTCTTCAGGGCTTCCCTCGGATCCCACGAGCATACAGAGAAGCTGGGACTTCGGCCGGATCCTGAATAAATTCCCAAGCTCTTGGCTTCGGCAGTCCTTGTCAGTTGTGACTGATCCCCTCTCGGCGTCCTTACTACCTAAAGCCGCCGAGCTACACGAGGTGTACCGACAGGAAGTTTTCTTTGGAACAGCCCTCCGATCCGGTAGATCCTGATTTCCTGCTTTCTAGAGATCTCCGAAACAAGCAAGCGCAGGGTGTCTGACATGTGCTGTGGCGGACTGGGCAATGACTGTCTACTGTACGTAAATATGGCATCTTTCGATACCGCAAGTATCAACCGCATGTCGCACAACCTCATTATGATGCAACTTTGTAAGAGTTACAGCGAGCGAAACAGAACCACCAAAATCCAGTAGGCAGGTCCTCTTGAACCGGAGCTTCCCAGCTCAGGAAGCTGTGGGACCTTGCCGCGCCAGGCACATGAGCTATACACTCAGTACACTACATGTATGTACTATGTTGCAACATGGCGGGACATGGTTCTTCATAATCTGTAGTGAATTATCATAACGCAGACTTTGCTATGTTGAAAGATGTCCCAAGTAAAACAAAGATTTGAATACCATTGTGCCTCGACAGCGCTATGATGCAACGACGGTACAGTGTCACCTGAGCCCAGCACAGACATTCCGGCATAGACCTGTGCCGGGGGCTGTACAAAATTCGGGGGTCCAGGTTCCCTTCAACCTTCAAACGATTCGTTGCAACCGCAGATTCCAAAGAAGCTAGACAATACGTACTGAAATCGATTCTCGAAGACTCCTCCTCCTGCGGCTCCTATATACCCCTCTTCCACCTCGCCTCACCCTCTTCTTCTACTGCTACTCCTGCTGCTGCTACTCCTATCTGCGAGTACCGCGGCTCCGACTCCGTCTGCTCACTTCCTGATACCCCTCCAAAAAGTCGCTGCCCGAAGCAAAATCGCCAAGTTCATGGCACATTCAGAGCACTGCCAGCCTCGGGAGACTCGCTTGCAGCCGATGTTCCAAGGGCCTGCTGTCGGATGTTGACAATGGGCCAATGGGTTTTCTGGTTTGTGGCGGTCTGGGGTTTGGGCTGTACGTTTTAGGCTGTGAAGTTCGGGTGCCACTGAAATTTGTCTCCGCTGGTCGGTCTGGGTTGCTGGGCTGCTTGATTGCATTCAAAAACCCGAATGTGCCCGAATGATACTTGCTTTCATGTTGTACGACAGTTTGTAAGTCCCTGGTCCCAGGTACGATCGCCAGGGCATCCTCGGGATGTGAAGTCCAACCAAGTCTACGAAGCTCCTGCCGCTGCGCGCGGACTTCCGCCAAACGCTGCTGGAGGCTGCGGACCTTCGCAAGACTCTCAAATGAAGACGGAGATGCAAAGCCGGATCCGGGTTTCTGTCTTGTTGTGACTTCCTTATCCAGCATGCTATCATATATGATACTACACGATACTAGGCTATGCTTTACTATGCGTTGCTATTCAACATTGACTCTGCGAACTTGCTCGATCTATGGGAAGCACGATCGTTTGCCTCCTCGTCGAGGGTCAGCTCCTTGAATTTGTCGTCGAAAGCACCGGGGGCTATGTGCTGTCGCTAGTCGTAGCTTTGGCTGCTTTGCTTTGTAGTAGCAGTGGAAACAGTAGTCGAGGTAGTATCCGCAACAGTGGGAGATTATTAGGTGGTAGTGGTGGTGTTGGTAGTCGTAGCCGTCCTAGTACCGGCAGCACGGGGAGGACGACTATGAGAGAGGACGAGGGGGAGGAGGAGGGATTTGTAAGCACACTAGTTCAAGCAAGAATGATGCTTCTTGATCGAGCATTAGCATAAAATTTGCTAGTGCCAGTATTGCTGGCAGAGGCATCGTCAGCAGGCTCATATGTCAGAACCATACAAGTAGCTGGAATTGCAGCGTTGCCTCTGCGCATACCCCTCAACGAAAGGTCCTGAGCTCCAATATACCTGCATAGAGTGGATGCGCG